CTATTAACACTCAATTTTCATTTTGTGGAAAACAGTGAAAGTGGTGACATACGAAACAGTGAATGTTCTCTGGTAGTGGTTAGGACGCTACCGGCATGTAAAATTGTATTCACATCTGTGTAAACTTGGCCACCGTTCCCCTCCCAGTTCTCGTAGGCTTTCTTCCATATCTGCTGTTCCTTTTGGTGATACTAAGATTATGTGATCTTGTGGGGATAACAGGCCATCTGCTGCAGTGGCTATACGCAGTATCTTGTACCGCCTCGCCTTGGTCTGACTGGGCTCTATGTCTTTTCTCTAATGCGCCCATAAAACGAAGGAGATGATTTTAATACATTTGCGTAGATGTAGTTAATCAGCGTGGTCCGTTTTGTCACACCCCGGGGGGATTGTCTCCTCTGGACTGTTTTGTCATGTTTCATTCTTTCAGGGCCTGCAAACGTACTCTGGGTTAACCTTGGTCACCTTTGGTGGTAAGTGAGACATTTCATAGAGAAGGTGATTGAGCTCAGCTGAAACTCCCCTGACAGCTCTAGCAGTTCCTCAGCAGGAGAGGGAGGGGAGAAGAGAGCAATTATCAGCCAGAAAGACTCTGAATGCAGAACAGATGTGAACGCGGGGAAAACAGCATGACCGTCTTTCATGGCAAATTTACTACTGCGATGGGGAAGTCCCATCAAGGCTTTTTGAAAGGCGCTCTGTTAACCGTTCCTGCTGTTATGTGCCACGGCAGGCAGCTCGTAGCATGAATGCAGCTTCTCTTCCCTTTCCTGCACTACTCGGCTCGACAATTCATATAATGCACCCTTGGAATCCCCACGCGAAACAGCATCTGTTGTTGTCGTCACCTCTTTTCTGCAGAAAATGGGAAGACAGCAGAAGAAAATGGGGCAGAAAATGTTCAGTTGAAAGGGAAAGGGGTGCCAGCCTTCCTGCACTTTCACTGAGGCCTTAGAGGGCAGAAGTAGAGCAGAAAGTTAGGGGTCAGTGCCCTTATTGAGCTGAATAAGGAATGAGAGATTTAGCATTTCTTCAAAATCATGTCTAATTTTAAATATCCGCCGTTGGAAAATGCTGCTGGATAATTGGAAGGAGAATGTGCCTGCCTTGCTCACAAATGCAGTCTGCCCGGCCATCTGCTCTGACAGCAACAAATCCTGGATTGATTTGCGAATGTGATTAATTCAGCTAGGACGACTGGATCAAGGGATCAGCTAGAGACAATATTTATACCCTACCTCCGACTGTGAATGTGCAATTGTTTGGTTCAGAAGTACAAAACAAATTGTATAGCTGTATTACTGGAAGAATGGAGAAATAGATGCATCCACTCAACAGCCCTTTTTTCCATAGATGGCCTCATTCCAAGGTCTGCAAGTACAGTCTAACATAAGCCTGCTTCCCCCGTCTCTGAGGTGAAGCAGAGCTCTTCTGATTTTACAGAGAGCTTCTGCATCTTTATTCGCTACGTCAATGCTGTTATTGCTCTTCTTGCTGCAGTTTGGGCTTAAGATCTTCGAGCTACTGGCTCTGCGACCTCGTCCACATGGCCTGGAGGGGCAGACGTGGAGTGTGAGCCAGCCACCCTGCCCTGTGCCTGGGGTCACTGATGGGAGAACTGGTACTGGGTGCACGGCAGGACTTACAAACAACCGGGGGGGGATTTCTAGCACTGGTAGAGCCTTGAGCTGATTTGATAATATGGATGTAGCTGGAGAGATCTGTAAAGATTTGTAAAGGAATTTAAATGTAGATGAAGGCTTTTGAAATCCTACTTAGCGTGATTTAAGTGTGTAAAAACACATTGGGCCTGAAGGTGCCGTGCTGAAGGCCGCATGGGATGTCTGTGGGAGAACAGGGAGAGGAAAGGCTCCTGCGTCCCGTGCTGATTCTTTCTTCTCCCTCACAACTTTTCCAGCGTGCTGCAGATCTGCTGGGACCGAGAGCGCTGCTTGGGGAAGCATGAGGCTGTGGTAACTGGGCTGTGTCTTCTGGCTGTTGACAAGACACTGAGCCCTGAGCAGCTTATTTTTTTTGATACAAAGCAGAAGTTGCATGTATCTTCTCTCCTTTTGGGCAGAAACAGTAATGATGTAACAGCTGGTGGAAGAGTGAATGCCTCATTTGTCCCAGCGAGTAGCTGCCCTGACTCTGCCTCGATGCAATCTTCCCACCATATCCAGCGGTGACCACGTTTCTGCTAAAACGATTAGCAGTGAAATAATTAACAAGGGAGATTTTTTTCGGTGTTGTCATTCAGTACCAGATGTAACGCCATCTTAAAGTGTTACCGCTATGGTTTCAGCTTCTGTTTATTCAGGCTGATACGGCTGCACTGGTTTATATTTGGACCAGAACTTAAAAGTTCTTCTTTGAAGAGCTAAGGAGTAAGGGTGGCATTGTCAGAGTCATCGCCACTACAGTTAGGCCAACACAGAATGTTTTGGAAAATCCCCCTCTTAGTTTGTTAATGACCAGCTGAATCCTGAAACACATTATAAACTAGTTCTTGAAAAAACAATTATTGGTGCCTTTGCCTGATCACACGCTGGTATTACGCCACGGGCTCAGAATCGTACGGATAGCCATTAACAGGAGCTCTACGCAGCAAGAGAAAAACAAACCCTGTTATTAAAAGGACAGGTTGAGTATTCAGTATTTAGCCTGTTAAAAGAAAACTGTTGCCATCTGACAGTAGATGTTGGAGGGATTGAGGCCACGAGTGGATTCCATAATGAGATGTGGCGAGATGCCTGGCAGCCTCTGTGTTTTGAAATTGAGTTTTAAATGTGATTCTTCTTTCTCTTGAGACGTCCTTTCATGTGCAAAGGAATTTATAACCGTAATTTGTTTATGTGGCCACATACATAATGGTAGAGTCTAAACAGGGATTCTAATGATGAGTTAATTAGCACAACAGGAAAGGATATTTGCCCGTTCGGAAAGGAAGTTGGTGCACTCGCAAGTCCAGGGATCTTTTAGTCCTGCTGATCAAAGATCGCGCAGTGAACCAACCTCCTCCGTCCTGATGTCTGTTAGCACATAAATGAGGTAAGTGGGTGCAGAGATTGTCTACTTTTGCTGCTTCTGATGTGTCTTTAAAAGGTGTGCAGAAAGGTGACCTCTGCTAGGCTACGTTAGAGGTACTTGGAGAGTCTCTTCCGAATTGTAGATAAATATTCAGATTTTCCTCTCCTGAAAACCCAGTAAGCGAAGCCTTTATTGAAGTCAGCAGGATTTTTATTACTGAGTTCAATGGTATTAGATTCTTTCCTGATATTTATAACTGAAATGACTATTTTTCCGGGGATGTTATTTTTAATGTCGAAGAATGTGGTTAACCCATGCATTTCTACCCTGATAATTCAGAGAAATTGCTCTGTAATCTTCCCTCACAGCTCTCTGCCAAAGCATTGTTGTCACGACCTGCCAGAGTCGTCTTTCTTCAGCTAAATCTTCCTTACGAACAGACTGTAACACGCTGAATTATGACTGATTATATGACTGTTTTCCAATAAGGACAAATACTTGAGAGGGATTTGAGATGAAGTGAACAGACACTGACATTTTCCCTCGGGATTCCAATCAGGATTAAACTCAATGAGTCCAAGCTAAAAGGAAAGTGCATTAAGAGCTATGGGCCATCTCCAGATCTCCGCTGTGTCTTCCTCACGTTGTTTACAAGGTTTCATCGGAGAAAATTCTAAGATACTCAGTTGTTTGATTTGAGATCCCAAATAAATGAATGAAATGAGAATTGATTAGAGCCTTTTCTACAGAATTCGCTTCTAATTTCCTTTTGTCTTATCTTAAAAAGACAAGCTATAATACAAGAAATCTTTCAATGAACAAATCTTTGTTGTACAAGATTACAGCTGCCTTCCACTCTTCCTGACAAGATAATTGCAGTTGCAAGCATCAGAGGTAATAAAACGTTGCATTCCTCGAGGCAGAACCAGTATTAATTGCAAACGCAAGTACATGGCTGACACACCTTTTTATTTCTGGTACTACACATCCCTATTGCACAACACTCTGTTGTACAAGAACACAGAATATAATTAGCAACACAGCAACACCGGTGCTTATTCGGGTGTTGAACAGATTGTTTCCCTTTTCTTTCCCCATGTTTCAGCTAATCCGGATCATACATCCCAATCCAAACCCAGCAGCATCCGTTACAGCTGGAGTGCTGGGAAGGAAATCTTACTGCTGCAACGACTTGTGTATTCAAGGAGCCGTGATGCTGCTGACAGCATGGTGGTGGCCAGCCCTGGTGCAACATCAACAGCGGCTTGGCGTAATCCTGTGTAGAGCCCTCGGTCCATATTTATCTGTCTTGAAGTACAAACCCCTGTGTTACAGGTGAGCCCCCTGTGTTACAGGTGAGCCTCCTGTGTTACAGGTGAGCCTGGTGGCTCGTCGTGGGTCTTGGGGGGAGCCAGATCTCCTTCATCAACCATATTAGCAGACTTAGTGCCAAAGCATCTGTTATTCTACAGGGCTTTCTCGCCAGGGAGGCTCTACGCATTACAGTTAAAGCAGCGGCCGGTGATGGTCACTATATCTGGGTGCCTTTTTAAGTGCATGTCTACCTCAAATGGATCAAACCGCTGGCTTCCATATTGTGGTCGCAAACCAGCATCCCCCAGTCCCAAGCTCTAACAGCATCTCTGCGCACATCCTCTGTTTCTTTACCTCCCACGGCTTTCCTGATGCAAATGACCCTCCTGGGTGGCTTAGGAAGAGCCTCAAATGGGGCGTTTGAACACTGAACGTCAGGTCTTCCAGCAAAGCCCAGTCAAATGGCCTTGGTAGTAAGTGTGGCTCGAGGCTACTCAAAGAAAGAAATAAACAGTGTGCTAATAAATAAGGCCTAATGAAACGTCACGTAAGTTCTATGTAGAAAAGCAAGCGATTGCAGAGGAAGACTTTGGTCCCCTCTTGTTTCTAACTCACTGCTCAGGAGCAAGGGACGGCGTGGTCGGGAGGCGGCCCTGATGCACGGCCAGGGGCTTGAGAGCCGCGTCCGCCGGACCCGGCAGTCCCGGCCGCGGGCACAGTGTCACCTGCACCCCCCGAAACCCGAGGTCCGTACCCCACTGTAGACGTTTCCCTCCACAAAACACGAACACGGCGGTAGCTCTCTTTCTAATCCATTTTGTCGCTCCCAGACGGAAGGAAACCACAACGGGCTCAGCCCTTACTGATGTTCTTATTGCCTGGTGGCCATCTCCTCTGGCCCCCTTAATTAATACTCACTAAGGTTAATTTTTTAAAATCTGTTTTCTGGGTTTCACATTGAAGTTTCATTGGTCATAATGACACCGCAGCGGTTTTATGGGAGTTTTGTGGGTGAGATGAGTGCTTTTATACTGAAAGATCACCTTTGTGTTTGCAACAACCTATTTCCTAAAGACAGCTCATTTGCTACAGTTTTCCCTCTTATTTTGGTGAAGGAAATAAAGCTCCCGCTCATCTCATCGTGGCACTCAATTAATCGCGCGTAAAGCTTTCCGGCAGATATCACTGGAAAACATGGTTTACTATTTGGCAGCCGTTAGTTTTATGGAAATCATTACTTACGCTGCTCGTCTGGAGGAAGTGATTGCAGACTTCATTGCAAGGTATCATTGCTTAAAACTGAAACGACTTTTATATGACCCTGCGGATGGAAAATACGCGTTGTTCTCCTCAAAGCATTTGTTTTCTTGCTGTTTCTTTTGAGCAAGCCCCAAATTGTGTCGATTTGGGATTGTATAGAGTTGTGACCCCCTCCTCTGGGGCGCGCACAGCGCACCCTTCCCCAGTATTTCTTCCTAAAAGAAATCTGCCATCTCCCTGTTCTCCAGACGTAGCTCAGACGCGCCCGGTAATCCCCGCCGACGCGGCACTGCGTTTATTACCATCGGGCGCCAGTCTCCCACGTTTTTTAACCTGGAAAACACCTTTTTATCTAGCTGTGGGTCAAATTCCGTTCTCGAGCTGGTTTTTACCCGCGTTTCCTCGGCCCCGCGGGTGGGTGGCGGCGGGCCCGCGTCCCCACGCCGCCGGGGGCTGTGGGAGGGGAAAAAACGCCTCAGGCCAGGAA